TAGGTGAGGGGCTGGGTTGGACTCGATGGTCTGGAAGGTCTCTTCCAACCCAGAGGTTCTGTGTGACACAGGCAGGCAGAGCTCTGCTCCCATCCTGCCACTGCCACTCCTCATTTCCAGCTGTCACTGCTGCTCTGCTCTGCCCCCAGCAACCTGGGAGGATTTCCAGAGGAACCTGACACAGAGCTCTGCTCTCCAGAGGCTCTGTGCTCATGGGTGTTGTTTGTGTGTGTATTTGGATTATTCACAGCTGGACATTCACAGACTTCCTCGGGAGCTGGAGATGAAGGTTGATGCTCCTCTGAGGGAATTTAGGCTGAGTCCAGCCAGCTGCCAAGTGGACAAAACCCATCCTGGGTGTCCAGTGACCCAGCCAGGGCTGCTGGGATAAAAATGGGCTAAAGCAGAGGGCAGAAGGGTTTGTTTGAGAAGCTTCTTGCACAGAGAATTTCCAGAGGTACAGGGGTGGGCAGGGTGTATCTAACTTTATTTATTCAGCACACTGAATGCTGTCTCTGACTGATGCTGCTCTGCTCAGCCTGGCTGAGGTCATGAAAGAAAACCTTGGGAAGGGATCCCAACCCCAGAGTGAAGAAACACCGAGCTGGAGTTTGCAGTTCAGGGAAGGAGTGGGATGCAAGGAGAGCAGAGGGCATCTCTGGGAGACCACAGTCCATCCAGGGCTGATGGCTTTTGCTGGGTTTAGCTTTTGGATTATATAGGAGTGGAACAAAAAAAGTTCAACGAAAAAAAAAGAGATGTTTTATGGGGCTTTTGCAGAGAGATAAACAACCTCTGACATTCCAGACAAATACCTTAAACCCACGTGCTTTCCTTCACCCCTCATTGCAGCATATTTATCTCAGGACTAACAGGAAATATTCCAGCTGAGTATTCCACAGGCAGCTCCAGTCCCAAAGCAAACCAAAACCAACCTTCCCATGGCTCATATCCGGAGCTGCTCCCTGGCAATACCTGTCCCTGAGCCCTCCCTTTGATCAGCAGGAAAATCTTATGCAAATCTTAATTCCCCGTGATGGGCAATATCCTGTGAGGTGAGCACCGAACCTGCCTCACATCTGGGCAGTGGCTCCTGCAGAGCTCCCAGGACACGTTTTCCTTGAGATCCTTTTTCTGTCTTAATCCAGGAATTATCATCACCCCCCCGCCCCTTCCTTTTTATCTCCTTTTGGGGTCGTGACACTGAAATACATCAGCCAGACCTTGCTGAGACCTGGGGAATTTTGGATCAGGGGGAGCCCACATTGTGCAGGAGAAGGCTGGAAATGCTGGATCTGTGAGGGTCACCTGCTCCTGAGCTGGGAAACACCTGAAAACATTCTTTTCTAATTATTTTAAATTTTAAATTTTAAACCGTCTAAAATTGTTGTTTTTAAAAAAGAGAACAGCTGCATAATTTGGCTATAAATCCAAGCATTGCATGTGCCAGAGCTGCAACTCTGTGGGCAGGGGCTGGAGAACACAAAGGGCCTACTCAGATGTGGCACAGCCTGGACATTTTAATTTAATGATTTTAATTTAGCACAGAAATATCTGTTTTATCAGCATTTCCCCTCCTAGCAATAAATCTTTTGTCCTAGTTTTCCTTAATACCACAGCATTGATTTTTAATTTGATTTTTAGTGATGCATGGATTGGTCAGCAATGTAAAACATATGAGAAGGAAAGAGTCCCCCTTTCCTAAATTCCACAGGATTTTGGGGACTTGTTTGCCCTCCCTAAGCAGGGAGAAATACCCAGGAATTCCAATTCTAACCCTGCCCCAGGACAAGGAATGGCTTTACCTGGAACACTGTGAGGATGGCAGCAGGGAAGGTATCAAAATTCGTGGTTGGAGTTTCATCTTGGAAATTGAACCTGGAGAGAAGGGAGAAATAAAAATCCGAGTGGGGAGGGACAGGAAACTCCAGGCAGCCCTGGAACACCCCCTAACACCCCATAAACCAAGTCAGGGAGCAACATTTGTTCCACCTGGCTCTAACACCCCAGGCAAGCTCGCTGGGGAACATCTCAGAAGGTGCTTAACAGAACCATCAGCAAAATCTCAATTTCATTCCCAGAGAAAATGCTGATGCTTTGAAATTCATTTTCATCCCCAATTAAAATGAACAATCAAAAATCTCCAATCATTTTGCAGAATGAGCCATTCCAAGTAGTTTTCATCCACAAGTGTAAAAGCCCAAATTGAAACTACTCTCTTAGCAGGTAATTTCTTTTTTACTATTTTAAAGATAAAATAGGTATTGACTGGGAAAATAAAAGACCAAACAAAACCATTTCATTATTTCAGTT